TTCGCGGATTTCTATATGTTCGACTTTGTTACAAAGTGTTTGAATAAAGATTGGTTGTTGTGGTATAACGATGTATCTGTTGCGACTTTGCATCGGTATGAAGGTGATGGTGTCTATTTGAAAGAGAGCGGTTTTGCAATTACTAATTGGACTATATGTTTTGGGGTTGTGATGTTGGGTTGTATTCTTTCGCAAAGTTTGCCTATCGGTGCTTCTCTGCAGAATTCGGTATTAAATACCTTTGGTTTATTGAGATGTATCCAGTTTGCTCCTCTAAAGTGTATTCGTGTTCTATTAATGGTGCTACAAAGCTGTTTTGTATTTCATGAGGTATGGCTATGTGTTTTATAGAGTGTCCATTCGTCACTTTCTATTATTGGTATAATAATTTGATAGACCAGGGTGTTGTTAATTATTAACGCGTTTAGTGTACCAATATCGATTATACTTTGAAAATTTTTTTAGGAACATTGGATGTTCTTATGTGAGTTTTGAATTGAGATTTCATAAATGTGTCAATGTCAGTTAAGGTGGTGTCTATTATTCCTGTTTTTTTTTTTTTTTTTCAAAATTATCATTAGGCAGAAATCGTTTACTTTACTGGTGAGTTTGGTGATGAGTGCTTCTAGTATTAAAAAGTTTCTGTCTAAGATTTCGTTGTTCGCAATTTGTGCTAATTGTTCTGGTTGCGTAGTTACTTGTGTGGTTAAATATTTAAAATGTTCATCTTGAAGGATCTGTCTGAACATTGATGTTTGGTTTTGGACTATGTGTGTTAATTCGTTTTGACTGTTGAAAAGTTTGTCCATGTTTTCATTGATTAATTTTAGGTCAGCGTCATCAGGAGTGCCGAAGAGAGTCTTGGAGACAGATCCAATGATGTTGAATAGTCCTCTTTTAGTTTTACTGTGAGTTATTGTTTTTAGCTTGTTAACGGATCGTTCGAGATTTTTTATTCGAGTGGTTATTATGTTAAATGCGATTCTCTCGCAGTATGTTTGGTGCATTGTTTTTCGATAGGTGTGTATAAATTTTGAATTAGTTCCGCGTCGTTATACAGATCATCGGTTCGGAATTATGGTGATTTTAATTTCTCTGTGGTATACAAAAGTCTTTTCCAATGGTTTCTGTAAGTACCTTTTCGTATCCTATTGGGGTTATGGTTAAACTTAATGCTGTTGAGATGATTCCTTGGAAAAATGGTTTTAATCTATTACCATGCACCAACATGGGTTTGGATTTTGGTATGTCTAATAGATAATTAGGTGTTTTGGTTTCTAGGATTTTGTACGGTCCTAGCCATTCTTTGTTTAATTTGTGGTCGTTATGTAGTAGTATTAGGTCATTTGTTTGGTATAAACTTTTAAGTCAGATTCTTCTGTCTTGATTAAGTTTGTATCGTTTTTTTATTTTCATTCGTTATGCGTTTTGCAGCTGTAGGGTATTCAGTATGTCTGTCTTTCCAGAGTTGAAAGAGTTTCCCTTTTGTGAGAGTTTGGGTGTGAGCGATATGGCAGAGGGCATATTTGCTTCTCTTCCAAAGCTGAGTTCGAAAGGTGTAAATCCTGTGGTTGTATGTGTTGTCCTATTATAGGCCATGGATATGGGTTTCAGATTTTCGTCCCATTCGGCTTTGTTTTCATCGAAAACGGCTGGTTCACAACATGTCTTTTATGAATCTGTGCTCTTTCAAGAGATCCATTTGATTGCGCATGGAACACAGTTTCAATATGTTTGATTTTGAAAGTCTTTTCAAATGAGCCCATCAACTTGCAAACAAAATTTTGTCCTTGATCGGTTAGTATGTGTTTGGGAAATGAGAAAGTATAGATGTAATGTTCTATCAACTGGTCAATAATCGTTTCAGCCCATTGATCAGGTAATGGAATGAAGATAAAGTACTTGGTTAAGGTGTCTTGTATCGAGAGAATGAATTGATTTCATTTAGTGGTGAGTTTTAGTGGACCTATAATGTCCAGGACAATTTTGTCATTTTCAGCAAGTAGAGCTTCTTCTTTAGGCCTTGTACGGGTGAGTTTGTTGGTTTGGCAGATGTTGCAATTCTTTATATATTCAGTAACTTCATTATGTATTCCAGTCCAATGATGTTTTGTCTTGATTCGTTCTTTTGTTTTTTTGCCATTTTTGTTTTCCAGAGGCATCAGTTTTTTTGAGGACAACCCAAACTGATGCGTTGAAAGGGGAATCGCTTCGTTCCTTGTCTAACATTTGTTGTATTTGTGTACGAATTTCTCGTTTTGTGACATTCTGGAGGTTTATAGCATTTGATGTTCATCAGTTTGCCTTGTTTGGATAGATCGTGTGTGAGATTAGGTTAATACGTGGATCGGTCTCTAATGCGAAGAGGTCATGGTAGGAGCAGACTATTTCTTTTATGCTTTCGGCGTAGTTAAATTCAGTGTTGTCTAAGTGTAATTTGTTTAATAGTTCATGGACTCTGATATTATTGTTTGTTGAGATCTGATTAGATAGTTGGACAGTTTGCTTACCAGGATTGATGTAACAAACCCGTATAACTTCATTTCCAATTTTTACACAGAGGATCTTCTGGGAGGTAATATCTCTTCCTTGGTTATCTGTAAAGGAATTCGTCTCTGATCACTTTGAATTTCATCGTTACTTATTGTGTAATTATGCTGTTTTAGAAAGGGTAATCCTATTATTCCGTCTTCCATCAATGGGAAGTCATCTGGTATTATGAAGAACATGTATCTTGCCGTAAACTTTGCAGTGTGTCATTGAATTTAAGTGGTGTTTGTCATTGCCAAGTCTAACAGTGCGTGGTTCCTTTAATTCCAACTGGTTTTCACAAAAGCTTTGTTACAGTAGATTTACCCCAATGTGACCAATAAGAGTTTTCCTGGTCTTGCCATTCTTGGGAGTTTACATTTGATGTGCTGTATTACAATTGCTGTGCAATTCTCCTGGGGTATAGTTGATTCGTATTCCTGCTCCTCCTGTTCCATTGTTTCGTTCAAACCCCTTGATTGGTTTCTTCCAAGTTGTTGACGCGAAGAGGGATCTTTCCATATTGAAAACGGGGAAGAATTTTATTCTAAGGAGGAAGCAGTTGCCTTGGGTGTGTCCGGTTTTTTGGCAATTATCGCATTTGAGTGTAGTGGGAATTTTAATAGAGGTGGTTGCTTAATTTGATGGGGAAGATTGGCATGTTGGTCGAGTGATGGTCTTTGCTGTTGCTGGACGTTGGCTAGTCATCCTTCTGGCAGTGGTTTCTTTTAGCCATATCTTCATACTTGATGCTTCTTGTTGTACTTGTACGCAGTGATGTGGCCTTTATAAGAATAATGTATTGAAATAAATTGATACATAAATTATGCATGTAAAATCAAATTGCTTCTGTAATTTTTTTCTTCTAGAGCGAGGTTGTGGGCTCTAGAATTACTATGTTTAGCTTGTACAGCACATTCGAGTTCATTTAATGTTTGCCTAAAACGATTAGAATATGACTTTACAGTTTCATTTATTCCTTGTTTTATGTTTTGCATTTCATTTCCGCTGCTAACGATGGTAGGAATGGAAATTTGTGTGCAAAGGGTTGCGTATAACTCTTCATATGAAGTTATGGAGTAGAACCAAATGCTTTGTTCAGCTCGGTCAGTGATTTTCTCGGTTAGAATCATGCGTGATAGAGAAACGGTGTCACTTACCCTGGTTCTAGCCAATCTTACTGATTTTATGAATTCTTCTACGCCGATATCGTTGATTCCATTGAGAACTTCAACAGTTCTTATTGTGCCTCTGATGGTTTCATTGTTGGATCACTGTAAATTGATTCACGTTGACGGGTATGTTCTTCTTATGGTTGTTTCTGGGGATTCCTCGGTTTTGGCAGTGTATTGAGTGGATTATGTTCATCCGTTATATCGGTACGTACTGTTTCAGAGTATGTCAACGTATTTATTATAATAGCTAATTGGTTTCGTTCTTCGTGTGCGATTTCTAATTTTTTTTTTATGATAGCTGTTAATTTCTCTAACGTCTGGGGTTTGAATGCTTCCCGTAATAATTTGTCTTGGTTTGTTCATCTTTCGTTTTGCCGATTAATTTGTTTACTTAGAGTTTCAATATTCGTTAACGAGCAAAGTGACAGCTTCATTTGATCTTTGGTGAGAATCAGGTGAAGAAGATATAGGTCTTGTCTCTTCACATCGTTCTAGGTTTCTTCGAATCCTTGACGTTCCGCAGAGATGTGGCTCTAGTAGTCTGGTGCTGAGGTCCTTAGAGTTTCAGTGGTCCAGTTCTCCTTGCGCTAGAGTCTATGAATCCTGGCAGGATCGCCAAAATATGTCACGCGACTAAGACAATGTTATCGAGGTCTCGATAAGAAACGGTGATGGTTAGTTGCGTGTCGTTTTAGCAAGATAATATCACAGGAATTTAATCTTATCCTCGCAAATGAAGACCGTGGTATTCCAATGCTAAGGTTTCGGTGAAACGATACGAATTGTTTACGAGATAGAGCAACAGGTCGCAATCTACCATAGTAAACATATATGCGAATTAAATTTCTCGAGAGAGGTTTCGACGGAATAACGATAGCGTACTAATTAGCGTGCAACACCGATCTGCCTTTATTCAAGAGTGACGGGTATTTATACAGTGTTCGGTACCGATGTGGGGGGTACAATGGTCGCATTCCATTTATTGTTATCTGGTTGCTGACCGGATCTTATTACAATCGACATTGGTCGTATTCCTAGCTGGTGAGTTATTGTTATCTCGTCGCGAACCGGAAGTGGAGACGATAAGGGCCTCGTTACAATACCTCTGCCTCGTTACCTTCGTCATTTTTGTTCCACGCCGTCACGAACAAGTCATTGGAAAAAAAAACAAGAAATCAAATGTCGAAAGGCGTTATTTTATTAAATTTATACTTCGAACTCCGGCTAATTTGGAACCAGAGGCAAACGAGGACATTTGTTAAAAAATTGACGACCCGTGGACGCTGCGATTTGCAAGATATCGTCGTCGTTTCGAAACGTCTGACCGCGAATCTGTTTGATATTTCCTCGAACACAGACTCTGAGAAGCATCGAGAATCGCTCGTTGAACGTTCGTCGAGGCCTCGAAGAACGCAGGGATCCCTACGTTTGCACATCGATGTTTTTCTCTCCCCCCCCCCCCCCTTTTTTTTGGTTTCTTCTTCTTACTCTTCAATTGTAATCGGTAATCGTCGAATTACACATTCCATCGTGGAATCGTCTTTACCACAGGCGGCTCAGTCGATAAGGACGTACGTACTTACAGAATTTTGTATAACCGACGGTCGGCATTTTCCGGCCTTTTTTTTTTCCTCCCCCCGTCGACGTTGCACAGGTTGCGCATGTTTTTTTTCATATTTAAAGAGATAGAACACGCAAACACACGTACACACACTTGTAAAACGCGATTACTGTAGATTCGGTGCACGGATGGACTCTTCCCTGTACGATGTTTTTCGTTTAGGACAACACCAATTTAGGACGCGTAAGGTTTTCTCGATAGTGCAAGTATACAGGCATCGTCCTCGCGAGACTCCCGATTATATATTTTTCAGTCGGAGGACGGGCCAGAGTGACGCTAGGAGGAAATTTCGTAATTGAGGAAAAAAAAGCTGCGAAATCGTGAGAGAGAACTGACGAAGTATCGAGTTCTCTGTGGCATCGGCGTAGCTCATTGAGATTTGACGAGTTGAAATTACAGGGTGGGCGAAAAGTCACTTCCTACGAAAATAAATCGGTAACTATTTTCTTAGTTAATTATTCTTTTTGTTAATCGACTAATATATCGTATCAATGTATGTTTTATTAATTTATTACGACATTTGAAAGAAATAATTCTCAAAACGTAGTAAAAAAAAAAAAGAAACTCGCGTTTAAACTTAAATTTAATTCAAAATCGATAACATTAGTTATAGTTTGAGGTTTTATCGAAAAACAAAAGTAAGCGGGGAGAAACTTTTGGCCCAGCCTGTAGAATTCAGTGGAGTCTGATCTAGATCTCGATTAGTTTCAGGAATGACTCGTCAAACTGTGACAATTCTAAACTTTCAACAACGAACACTTTCCTTTTATCTCTCTCTTCTCTTTGTTCTCTTCTTTCTTCACTTGTCAAACAAACCGCGAACAGCAACAAACGTTTTGAGACATCGAACGAAGTAACGAGGACGAGTTCGACTAGACCGATACTTTGGCAGTTCAAGCGTTTCGTCTATCGACAGCGTTAGACTAGCGACTATTTTCGTTACGACGACCCCCGCAAGATGGCTGTACAGACTACGAACAAAAGAAAGAGAGACATGTATTTTCGTGAAACGAGCATGGTTGTAAAAAAAAAGAAGAAAAAAAAACCGAGTCCACAGACAAAGTAGAGAAAAATGGCTACTAAAGAGCCATGGTTGTTAGCGATTAAGCTTAAAAGTAATTTAAGGAAGAATACCTAGCGGCATTTACTTTACCGGGACAAGTATTTCGATCTGTTTACGATCCGTGGAAAATCGGTGGATCGCGAGTTTCCAATACGGACTCTCTGCTGCGTCTTTTTCTTTTTTTTTTTTTTTTTTTTTTTTTTAATTTTTTTT